GATGGGATATTGAAATTAGGATTTCTCATAGCACCAACAAACTCCCCACTACACATAGTCAACAAGCTAATGTATCAATGAAAATTTATATTCATCAGTAATCCAACTCAAGTTGCAAAAGGGGCAAACTATGTCACTATGCTATACAAGGAGAATCCTCTCTTTCTGCCAATAACTAAAGTTCAGTCCTATATAGAGTTCCTCATGTTTGAGAAGTGGTAAATGGGAAAAAATATTCATAAAACAGATCCACAAATATTTCTGATACATAAAACGATGTGAAATAAATCTATCTATAGGGAAAAATATTAATAAAGCAGATCCACAAACATTTCTGATACATAAAACGATGTGAAATAAATCTGCCTTGTGCATTTAATATTATTGAATGACAAGATGTAATAAAAGATGATAAGAAAGATAACTTAAAATAATACACCACGATTAGATGATAATTTAATGGTAGGTAGAAACAAAGTACTTGAGAAAACCACAAAGGTGATAAAAGGGTAAATATGCAATAGATAAATTCTCCATTAGCATCAGTGAAGAGATGAGTTTGTAGTAAGAAAATTAGTGAATGCTATAATACAAAAAAATTTAAGTTACTCTATAACAGAGAAGTTTGGGGAAAAGTCAAGAAAATAATGAAAAAAATTGTAATTGAGGTGTATAATAAAACATGCAAGTAAATGTTTCAAAAAAGTAAAGCATGAAAAATAAGTGAGCAAATAATTGGTTGCAATTGCTACAAAAACTATAAACATAACTATAATTGTTAATATTTTCTTAGCAATATAAAATGCAGTAATAACTATTACATATATTACTTATTAAATTCTTAGGATAACACAATTAGTAGTCACTCATATTATGTCCATTTTATAAATGAAGAAAATCAGGCTTCAATAGCAAAATAGAAATTCTTCTTCAACTGGAAAGAATTGGATCAATACACTTAAAAATTGAATCAAGCCAAGTACAGTGGTGCCCGCCTGTAATCCCAGAGATTTGGGAGGCCCAAGCAGGAGGATGGTGAGTCTCAGCAAAACCGAAGCACTAAGCATCTCAGTGAGACCTTTTTTTCTAAATAAAATACAAAATAGAGCTGGGGATGTGGCTCAGTGGTCTAGTGCCTCTGAGTTCAATACCTGGTACTGCCCTCCAAAAAATCAAATCACCAAATATTATAAATGCACTATGAAAAACAATGAAATGGCCTGCATATATTTTGAACTTCAAAGAGAGAAAATTTACAAAGTTTTAAAAAGTATGTATGTACATGTACAGTCATATATGAAGAAAATCAACATTCTTTCAAGCTTTACCCTTTACCAGAATATTAAAGGTATGAGAGTGAGGAATCAATAACTATAGTATCTGTAAGAAGAAAGTTCATCTCATCTAATTTTATATCTAAATAGTCAATAAATATATACAGAGTCAACAAATGATAATGCCAAATATTCAGAAGTTCAAGGACTGAATAATCATAAATAATCTTTAAAACTGCTGGGAAAAAATATTATAGTTTTCCAATAAGTTAGTTAAAATATTTTTTCAGAAGGCTAATTTAGGAAAGTGATGACATATAAAATTAGCATATATAACTCAATCATTTTCATGTATATACAAATGATAATCTGTATCTGTTATGGAAGAGAAGATTCACCTATAATAGTAACAAAATAAAATACTCATAAATAAGTTTAGTAAAAATGTGCAAAACCTACATGAGAGAAAATTTAAAATCCTCCCAAAAGACTACAAACAAAACTCAAATGAATAGGAAGACACACCATGTTCCATAATAGAGGACTCAAATGTGTAACTGAGCTGGGGAATATAGGAAGGAGAAGTTTTGAGAGCTGGAGAAAACCAGCGTTCCATTTTGATTGTGCTGATGTTGACCCTTCAGGAGAGAGACTGTATGAGCATTGGTTAGATGAAAGATGAGCACCTGGAAAGGTCAGCGCAGAAGCTATGAGTTTGGGAGTCCTTGGCATATGTCACTTAGCACCAGTGTGTAGATAGAAAAAAATACAGTCACAAAGACAGAAATATGAACAATCCTACATCTACAGACCAGCTGAAAAGTGATGAGCTAGTAGGAAACAGACCAAACCAGTGGCCAATGAAAGAGAAGGAAAGACAGGAGTGTGCTATTTTGGAAGCCAAGAATCAGTCATTCATACAGTGAAATGTTCACCCTGTATTTCCATTATCTGGTCCATAGTGAGAATTCAAAAAATTTTGTTAAATAAATGAATATATGAATAAATACACGAAGAAATGGAATTTTCTTGAATAGTATATATTATGAAAGTGAACTCAAGGAGTAAAAGAAAAATTTGAACTAATCTTATATATGTGCTTTACATCTATTTGTAAAAAGAAATGTAGATATATGTATGTCACCATAACTTAAAAACAAATCTAAACTTCTATCTAAAAATTCAAATTCAGCTTTTGAAAGAATAATAAATGCCTAACATACCATGGACTCTAGTTTTCAGCCAAATGTCCACTGAATTACTGGAATAAAAGTGAAAAGGTACTAAACTGATTAATAAAATATTGAACACTAATTAATAATTAATTAACACTAATTAATAATAATAATTAATAATTAATAATAGACTCAGGGGTTTTGAATAAGGCCCCAAAGATCATGAAACTTTTCCCTTCTCCTCCAAATGAGCCTTCAGGACCAGCTCCCCTACTCAGAATCTCCTTCCAACTTGCCATAAAATCTTTCAACAAATTATTAACATCTAGAACTTCAAATGATCATTCAAGGTTTTCAAATAACCACTTAGCAATTAGATGGAAGAAACCAGGCATGGAGTTATCCTTTATTTTTAGGCATCTTCATGGGATTAGTGGGGTTTAAGCTAGACCTGGCATTGTAACAACTGCCCGGTGTGTCCTCTAAGCAGCTTCAAAATAGCATGACTGATTTCATAGATGCTGCCATCAAAGTAGCTTTCATAATGTCAGATATATTGACAACCATATTTAATTGGGCCCCAAATGGTTTACAAGATTGGTTCATTGCTTGTTTGCATAATCTGTTATACATTTAGATGCTTTTTACTCTTCTTAAAACCTAGACAGAGCCTGGCTCCATAGAGGATAAATCGGTTCTTTCAAAGTAACAAGCCGACAAATTAAAAACTAATTGTTTCAGCCTGTCATAAATATGAATAAAGACCAGGTGAGTGGCTCATGCCTATAATCCTGGGGAGGCTGAGGCAGGATCATGAGTTCAAAGCCAGCCTCAGCAAATTAGCAAGTCCCTAAGCAACTCAGTGAGACCCTGTCTCTACATAAAATAGAAAAGAGGTCTGAGGTTGTGGCTTAGTGATTAAGTGCCTCTGGTTTCAATCCTTGGTACCAATTAATTAATTAATTAGTGTAAAAAACATGTGTTTTTTTTTCCTGGATATTACTGGCTTTATTTATCTCTTCATACACCCTTTAATGAAGCTTCATAACTTCCTTAAAGTGCTGAGCAAGCAAATAAAAACAGGTTTTCATATATATTATAGATAAAATGAGATCCCACATGTAAATTACAAACAACGATTATTCCTTGTTAGCTTATTAGATCTTTAAAGACTCTTCCTATCTCTCAAACAATTACCAAAGTTCACTTTCAGTCTTCAGCTTAAAAAAGAAATCACCCTTTGATTCACTTAACACTTTGGTCTATAATATTCTTTGCAAATCAGTATTTTCCTGGTTATGGGCACTGTGCCAATTTGTTTTTTAGCCCTGGGATCATTTATTTGTAATGTTCTAGTTTATAAAAATCAGAGATGCCATTAGGTGAGACTGAAATGTGAGCTTGAACAGAGTGCAGCTTCCTTTCTTTAAATTATCTCCTCTTTTCACTTAGTAATAATATGATGCTGTCAATAGCTGCTTCATTTATGCTTAATTGTTTAATCCCATTGAACTTGCTAGGATAAGTATTTTAAAAGCACATGTACAAAGTGAGGAGGGGGGTGTATATAGGCCTTTATGTACACAATTCAAGCTGAATTTTCTGATGGCCAGGCTTTATAAAATTATCTTGGAATAAGGAAAACATAAAGACCTTAAATCTGCATGTACTATTAATTCTAAATAATCCTACAGTAGTAATCTCCAGAGGAAGGAGCAAAATTCATGCCAGATTGATCTCTCCAATCCAGGGTGGAGATTGCACAGGTTGGTATATTGCTGTCTTTCTCATGTTATTCCCGGCCACTATAATCTAAGTTTTGCCAAAAGTTATGATATTTTGTTTTGAGCATCTTCTCTAAACAATATAGATCTTCTTATATTCATTTTTGTGACATGAATTGTTTGTCACATGTGAAGGCTTTTACATTAAAATTTTTAAGTCATTAAATGCTGCATCTATGTAGGAATTTTTTCCCTACAATACAAGATGGGAACTGGCTGAAATTGCTTTCAAATTCTGGAAATAAGTGTTTTTCTGTAGAATTGATTTGTCTATCAGAGAAAATGGGCTTATGACTTAAACACACACACACACACACACACACACACATCATGCAGACATGACAAAAAATATGAATTTCAAATAATATACTATTTTCAATCTTCAAAATGGAATTAAGGCAAAATTATTAATTAATGAGATTTATATTTATGAGTGTTATAAAGAGAAATCTCATGATTTCAAAATCACTCCCTATAAATCATGCATACAGTTTTTAGTTCATATGTTTATAGCACAGCCCTTATAATAATTACCAATAACTTGAGTCAAATAATATAAAAGGGGCATTAAGTATATGAAAATTGCAAATTTTAGTTAAAGATATATCCACTGACATACATTTGTGAAATACTAAAAGCATAGTTCAAATTTAATTCTAATTTTTCGAAGGTTTATTTGTTTCCTCTTTTAAATATCCCTGAGAAAACATATTTCTTAAAACCACACACATACAAAATTTCTAACAATGGGAAAATGATTTATTTACCTGGATCTTCTATAGTTAAGTTCTTTATTAACCATTGAACAATGTCTGACCCTAGAAAAAGAAAAAACACAAATAGATGTGAACATTTTGTTTATATATGTTAATTTTAAGAACACTCCACTTTAGCACTCATATTAGTAAGAACTTCTCTAATCATCATAACAACAGGTACAAGGAACTTCTATAGGAGTACTGAAAACTCCTAATATGAATACATTTCTTTAATGAGCCAAGGTTCAAGCTAGTAAATCCCTAAATATGATATATTTAAGCATAAAAAAGATTTAACATACTAGTTGTAGATGAAGTGATTAATCTGTTGAATAAATGTTTACTGAGGGCTTAGGATGTGTTAGGCAAAATTCTTAGGATGGCCCCTGTCTAATTTCTAGGTGTCCCCATCTCATCCTTCTATTGACTCTCAAGCCAAACCGAATTTGGTTGTAGTTCTTGAATACAACTGTTCATTTTAAACGTCTGTATCTTCATGTCTTTGTCCCTGTTTTAAGATCCTCACGATTCATGGATGCAGTAGAACTTTCCTTTGCCCTTCTTTTATCTACCAAGTTTACAATACCTGCTATGGATCCTCAAGAGAATCCCTGTGGTCTTTTATTGCAGTAGGGATCACACCAGCTCCTAGCTGTTTATTTGATTAAAGTCTTACAAGAAGTGCCTAGAAGCAGAATAACTAGAGTGACTGCTTAATAATGACTTAAAACAAACAAACAAACAATCAAACAAAAAAAAACAAACAACAGAAAAAAACAATTTTGTTCCCTACAGAAGATATAAAGGAGCAACTGCAAATAAATAAATAAATAAATAAAAATAAAAAATAAAAAATAAAAAAAGTCTGAGTTTCACTTTGAAGGGTATATTCTGGCATATGAAAAATAGAAATTTAGTTGATGAAAAGACTTATGAAAAAGTTAAAAGGTAACAGTCAAAAGAACTATTTATTGCATACTTTCTATATACTGGGTTCTGGTAATAATAAGAATTTGAGGGGCAGAGGTTGTGGCTCAGCGGTATAGTGCTTGCCTCGCATGTGCAAGACCCTGGGTTCGATCCTCAGCACCACATAAAAAAAAAAAATAAGTGAAATAAAGGTGTTGTGTCCAACTACAACTAAAAAATAAACATAAAAAAGAATTTGAAAATAATAAAAGAGTTCACAGCACATTCAGCAGGTCTAGAACTTCAGGCTAAAGAATTTGAATTTTTTTCCCTCATATAAGTAAGGCAGAAAAAGAGACATGCAATGAGTTTGAGCAGGTGAAGGATACTATCAAGCAAGTTTAAGGAATTTGACTGGCATTATGTGTGGAATGCTTTAAGTTAGACAAAAACACAGGAAAACAGTCAACAAACATTTCTACAGTTGTGATCCAGGATTGAAGGCAGAAAGCCTAAACAAAGTGTACAATACTTAGAACAAAATTGGAGATTTGTTTCAGGACTTTGTGACTAATTATATATGAAGATATTTAATTTTGTTTTTAGCACAATTCATTTCTACATAAAATAGAAAAAGACATATATGTGAATTGCTGTGTACACACAGTAAGCCATGTCAGAAATTTCAGTATGATACAAGATTCTATTTCAACCTTTCCTAGAGACTGGCTGAAGTTCCTGACTACCCACTCAGTGTTATGGTAAATGAATGACATTAACCTCAACAAGGTGATTCTAGCTGCTTGAATTGGCATAGTTCAAAACCATGTTCAAACTACTTGACTATCAAACTTGAAAATCGCCTTCCAAAAGTTTTGGAGACATTCATACCCAGCCTCATTTTTAATATGCATGCATTTAAAAATAATTTCAAGTGTTGAATCTAATTCATATTCTGTTGTAAATGTTTCTTTTATAGTTTCTTTTTATTTAAATGCATTTGAGGCAATCAATTCATTTAGGTCTCTTAAGGAAGTTTTGCCAAACTATTCTGAAGGTAGGAAGTAAAAAAGCCCACTCTCAAGAAAGCAGACATTAGGGGTTGGAGGTAGCTCAGTAGCAGAGCATGTACTTAGAACAAGTGAAGCTCTGGGTTCTATCTCCCAGCTTTGAGGGCGGGGGAGGGAGGGAGGTAAGGAGGGAGGTGATGGAGAATGTATGTATGTGCAGGTATTACAGATTACCTTATATCTTAAAAATACTCCCTTTAAAAAGTAAAAAGGAAACAGTTTTCCCAACACATATGATGTTTGATGACTAGAATTTCAGGTACCCAAATCTCCAGGTACTCCACTGAGGTTTAACTTTGACTCCAGCCTATGGAAAGTTCAGCCATAATCAGTGCCCATCCTCCTATACAGAGTTTTTAGAGGCATCTCTTTGGAGAATATATGTGAGTAGGCACTGGAAAATTCCCATTCTTTGGAAGAGAGTCAATCATTAGTTCCAAGACTACAAATTACTTTTAATGTGAAAAATGATTTAAATTGCTTTTAGAAAAAGGTTTTTTCTTTTTCTTCTCCTTTCATTTTTCCCTTTCCTTCTCTCCTTCCTTCTCTCCTTCCTTCCTTCCTTCCTTCCTTCCTTCCTTCCTTCTCTCCTTCCTTCCTTCCTTCCTTCCTTCCTTCCTTCCTTCCTTCCTTCCTTTTCTAAGCAGAAATATAGAAATGCCTAATTGGAAACCACACCTAATTTTGGGGACAGGGAACTTTCTTTCTTAGCCTAGTTTTGAGTATTTCTGGCACAGGTGCATTTTTGGTTCAGCTGTGATAGTCACTTTAATGGGATTTGATAAACTGTCACCTAACAGATGGCAAAGTACATTTTCTATTGCATGACCACCTTAACATATTTCTAGTTCTAAGTTGAAACATGATTTTACTGTGAAATGTGCACTCAAGCTCTCCATATTCACTTACTCTGCATCTATCATGTTGAGGCCTTTTCCCCGAAGAAATGGGTAGAGAAAGAGAAAAAAAAATGTCCAGTATCTTAATGAAATCAGAAGACTGAAAGAGAAATGTGCTATCATAGATTTCCCTAGAAAAGAATGTTCAACCTTAAAATGTGGCACAGTGCCCTGAAGAGGTTTAGGAAGGAATGCCATCTCAAGCAATTTTCAAGCTATACGTTTAATGGATAAATAAATAGCTCTGGTATATATATTTTTTCATGTACAAATGTAAATGTTAAGAATATTTTAGAGTTCTTTCTATTTTCTTTTGGAGATTTCTAAGGAATATGCAGGCTTTTTTTGAAAATTGACTTTGACTACAGCTTATGACAAGTTTAGGCACAGTCAGCACTCATCCTCTTATTCTGAGTTTTTAGAGGCATCCATTACTTTTAGTATTACAAAATTATGTGTTTTCTGTATTAGCAGAAGCAGTAGAGATTTATGATTGTGCAATTCCAGCAACACTTGACTTGAAAATGAAAAATGAGCAAAAATGAATGATCAGAATTCTTCCTTATCATATGGCTCATGGTCCTCTATGGGCCACAGTGCTTGTATCTTCCATGACTTTACTAGTCTTATTCCATCTCCATCTCTTTTTGCTGTGGCTAATTCTAACTGACATTTGGTTCAGACATTAGCTACTCTAGGAAGCCTGTTCCATCCATTGCCAGTCCACCTAGACTGGGGAAAGTGTATGATCTGTTAACATCCTCATAATTCACTTATCAATGGTTTCATCATCTTCCCTTTAGCACCAAGAGTGCCTGGAAGGCAGGGAAGGTATATTATTGATCCTCAAATCCCCAAAATTCAGATTAATGCCTTACAAGTAAAAAGTGATCAGAAAATGTTGAAAGAATGGATGCATAAAGATGGTGGAATGAGATGGACATCATTACCCTAAGCACATGTATGACTGCACATATGGTGAGATGCTACATCGTGTACAACCACAGAAATGTAAAGTTGTGCTGCAATTGTGTACAATGAATCAAAATGCATTCTGCTGTCATATATACATAATTAAAATAAATAAATAAAATTTTAAAAAGATTAAAAGAATGGATGCATGAACAAGATTCCCCTCCCCACATTCTACTTTAAGGATGGCACTCCTTGTGCAATGAATATTTTCCCAGCAAGTAATTTCCAGGCACCATAATCATCTCTCATAGATGTTTTATCTTTCCTTTTTTAAGGCTAATCTACTACCCCATTGATAATTAAAGCAAAGAGAGCAAAGACAGTCAGAAATTATTTTCTTACCCATGCTATGGACCTGCATGGTGAAGGGACCTCCCCAACTCTGCCCTGGTGCAGACTGGTAACATCTGCACCAGTCTCTGTTTTAAGCCCATAAGACTTTTATTACTCTCCATCTCTCCTCCACAGACTGGCCTATAACTTCAGATTCAAGTGTCAATTGCAGCTGTCCAAATACTGAATCTAAATTAGAGGCTTACAAAAAACTTAAGCAATCCTTACAAAGAAAAATATTGTAAAACTTTTGGAAATATGATAAGGAGTACTTTCTAAGAAACAAAAACATTAGAAATTTGGTTTGTATGCTTTAAAAAAAAATAAGCTTTTTCATAATTTCTGATAACACCATTAATGAAAAGTTTGGCTCATAATCACAATAGAAGAGGCCCAGATTATTCCTGAGGTAAAGTCGCTGACCTTTGCAATGTGTCTCAGTCAGGAAAATAAACAGGTCCTTTGCATACTTTGCTGAAGACTCACAGCCACATAGACACAGTGTTGGCAATATGAATATTTTTATTTAAAGAATACCACAAATAATCTATATTTTTGATGGGATAACCATTCTTAAAATCTCTCACTAAATAGAAGACATCCTATAGGTCTAGAAAATATTTTTTCAACGCTATTTTTAGTTCCTCAAAATAAGCATAATAAATGTTCATCATCATCAAGCAGCATGTAATGAATAGTCATTGGGTTTCTGGGCAAGTCTGGCTGTGGCATGCACTTTTAAGGACAAGAAGAAAAGGAGGTGGGGTGAAGCAGATTTGCTCATCTGTGAGTCTCTCCAGGGAGAAGCAATGTCTGACTCATCACATTTCTCCATTCTTTTCAAAAGGCCTCAACATAGATGGTCATCAGATGC